TGATGAGAAACTATACTAATAAGATACATGCATCTTATTAGTCTTCTAACTAGTAACATTCTAATAACTATACTTATTACTATACTTATTAGTGCAAAAAAATAATAAGTAATAATATAGTTTGATCTTATTAGAATGATAAGATAATAAGATGAATAATAAGATACCGAAAATGCCCAACTGTAAACGTGTTCGTTCGCAAAGACAAATTTCGTTTCGTGTTCGTTCGTTTTCGTGACGAACGCGAACGAACACGAAAACTAACGTTCATTGACACCTCTACATGGTAGTCATAAGACCCAATATGGTATAAATTTTAGAAATAAGAATATGAATAAATATCAAGTAAACACAGGTGTAATGATCTTATCATGTAAAGATGATGAAATTTTCTAGAGTTTCATATAAACAAATATTTCAAATATTCAACTAAAATACGTAGTACAAAACTTCATTTTAATTTTGTGTATAAATAAGCTTGTGCCAAATGCGAGAAACAATTAATTTTTAAACGTAGCTCAGAAACGAAATTTAGTTTCGAAAATGAAGATAATAATTTTTTTGCTTTGCGCTCTCGTCTTCAAAGAGGTATTTTTCATACAATCACTTACTTTTTATATATTAAAAATTATTTACTGTGAGTTAATATTTATGAATGTTCCAGACTACAGCTGGTGATGACGCGGCATCAAGTATTAGAAAATTACAGAATAAACTACGTTCTGCTGACGTTTTTAGAAGTTTCATACCGAACACGAATTTTTTCCCCGAATTAGACACAGCCATTTTCCTACTAGCTGACGTGGAACATTCAAAGCCGCTTCAAGCACTTTTGCATCGAGTTGAAAAAGCAATGAAAGAATTAAATAGTAGATTCCAGGAAATCAAGACACCAATATTGGAAGACATTTCAGAAACGATTTCCAAGAGTTGCTTAAAAAATGACTGTGATAATACGTTAATCGAACGTAAATTTAAGTTGACATATGTATCCAAAAAAATCTCTTTGATGACCTCGGCGGCGGATGCATTTAAAAAGAATGTTGAAAATTGTGAATTAAAATTGGTCAATAAAATGCTGAATGGAACTTTACCACAAATTACAAGTAAAATTCAAACTTTATTGATTCGCGTGGAAAAAAATGTTGCTGTCAACAAATCTGAAGTTGAAAAAAATATTATTGATCCATTGAATACGCCAGTTGACACTCGTCTTGGTAATCAACTCTCAAAATGCATCTACGATCACTTCAACGATTACATGAAAGATCGAAAAGAAGCGCATAAGCAAATCGTAAGATCGGGAAATGCTGATAGCAATAAAAAGCAAAAAAAAGAACACATAAATGACGTGATGTTAAATAATTAGCAATCTTCTCCATAGCGTATGAGCAGAGCTGTTGCTGGCATCATGGAGGCGCTTTTATTCTATCATTTCTCTCAATTTTTCAAACATTTCCAGATATTACTCAATTTTGGTTATATGCAGCTGTTATATATCGAAATGAATAAAATCTGTTGATAAATTTGCTCGCAATATGTATTTATTTGGTTAATATTTGATTGTTAAAACATAGAGAAAATCCGTTTTTTTGCCATAATTCAAATTGTTCATGTCCAAAGTCCGGTGTGATGTCTATTTCAAACAACCGAATATTTCAAATGAATCCGTTTTACCATTCCAAGTGATTGGACACGACTATAATCGGTAAGACCGGGTGGTTTTGCGGCTGAATTATGTTGATAGAATTTCACACGAATGTACTTATTGTCGGATACAAGTTTGCTATACTCTTTAATCTCGAGCAAGTCATTGTACATAAGTCGAACGTTTTCGGATAGATCCAAATGAATATGGTACAAATCTATTGAAAATATCGAGAGGAGAGTATATTTTTATTCAGACATTACTCAGCCATAAGCGCTGAATAACAAGAGGGTATGTTATTCAGCGCTTATGGCTGAGTAATGTCTGAATAAAAATATACTCTCCTCTCGAGAGTATCTCAATATATTCAATAGAAATATTGTGGTCTCAATACCGTCCGAAAGTCCGTTGTAACGCACTCTGACTCTGGCCTCACGGTTTGAAGACAGTACGATTCTATCGTCGTAAAGAACCTTTTCGTACTGTTCGGACTCCGAATATTCGATGATGCTTGCACGAACGTGGATTGGTTTTTCCAATGGAACTGATACAAATAAGGGAGTTGGCTGACTCGGAAAGCGGTCTTGTCAACCGGTACACACAGAGATATTCAGAATTACAGATAAAAGTCAAAGATTCATGCGATTTATAGCATTGTACTATGAAAACACTAGCATCAATTTAAGGTTATGTATTGAAATTTGACAAGTTATATAATTCCAAAAATTGTATGTAGTGGTAATATTTATCAGCTGGTCTGATATGTCCAATTATAATACTATTTTCAGCATAATGTAGTACTAGAATATTTCTGTGTGTAGTATATAGTAGCCCGGTGAATTTAGGCTCGAATCTGTTCGATTAATGACCCAGTTGCGGTATTGTCCATCCGAATCAAAGTCCACCTCTTCCGAAATGGTGCCGGAAAACAGCACAATGGCCGAGAATAAAATCACAAATTTCAATTGCATCGTTGTCACTTCAGTGTTCGCAATGTATTTTATTCGGAAATTTGCAAGGCTTCAAGCAATCTTGACAAAATCATTCTTGGCTCATTTTTTTATGGAATTAGTCGTTTTATCAATTTTTAAGTACTTAAATAAAAACAATTAAAGAGATACAGTAATTACACCAGTTGACGTTCATGTAATGAATTTATTCGTTCTTTTTTCCAAAAAATGTTGCCTCATCACTTAAAAACAAATTGAGACTGGATATTTCGCAAGACTCTCGTAGTTCACTTTGTTTTCGTCTATTTTTTGCATATTTTTTCCAATAATTTTTCAATATTTTCTGCAATTCATGTTCTTTTGGAATGAGTAAAGGGTGGAATTATTCCACAACAAGGCAATTAATAATTATCAATATTTTTGGCTGTATCAATGTCTTAAGACTAATGTCATGTATTGTACACTGTGTACAGTGTACCACATCCCCATAGTTAACATGGCCAAAAAACCGTTGCTCTGAGATTTTCTATACCCAAAACGCATAGAAAAACGATTAGCGATTTCAAAATTTTGGGGTGATTGCAATACTTTACTGCACACAGTGGGTGTGCGGAAAAGTAATATTGAATTTTGAATTGCTGACTATGGACTTTTCTTGAAGATTTTTTCTACCTCTCGCCCATCAAATTTATTGCTTTCACTGTCTTATTCAGTTCGTTCAAAATGTATGCGTTTGTTTGATGTGTTGTTTGAAGTGAAGCGAAGTTCATTGAAAAATAAATAATATTCACTTGAACAATTTTCGAATTATAACACTTGAAGGTAAGTTAATATTCAACGATCGCTTCTTGAAAGTCGGGAACTTATGTTTTATAGGAAAGTCATCTTTATAAATTTTACATACAATTTATGTCTATTTAATCGTTTACTTTTGTTACTTTGATTTTCCATTAATGAATGAAGTTTCCACTTGTATACAGAAAATCGTGATTCTCAATTTTATGTGTTCAACACAAATTTTAATCGCGACTCCCGCGCGAAAAGGGTTGCTGTGAATAGTTCAAATGATACAACAAAAGTTTATTTGTAATCAGTATTCCTTATCTTTCGAGGAATGAAACCGACACAAGCCAAATCTACTATCTGCTTGTTTGCAACAATATTTGTTAAATCATTTTCAAAAACCTACATTGTATGCTAAATGATGATAATTCGATCCATAAAAGAGAATTAAGTTACTAATTAGCCATGAAGTCTTGCAACTGTGGATTTTATGTAATATATTTTCCTTTCTAATTAACTTAAATTGATACATTAAAAAAAGCGATGAACATTGCCATCAAAATAAACTCACCCGGTTCAATGTCTGATTCATCATTTTCTTTACTGGAATATAAGCTGTCATCATTTTGTTCGATGCCTTGAAACATGTTGCCGCCAATTCGGTGTATCTTTTTTTCCTGAATATTTTTTTATAATGCCGTTGTGGGTGCTATATTGCTGGTCGTTGTTTTTTTCGGTCTCTCGCTATCGTTCTGCTCCCTTTAAATTTATTTTATACAAATTTTATGATCTTTATCCATTATTTGTGTGGCGCTTCATAAAAGTTGCTCTATTTAAACATTACGATGCTATTTACTTGATGCATCAAAGTTCACTGTAAACAAAAAAACAGGAATATACGTTAAATTTACTGATGACACTTTTTTTAAAATGAAAATGGAAAAAGCCCATTCGCAAAACGGAAAGTAAAAATGTTCAGTATTTTTTTTTAAACGTCGACATAACTGCACATTTAATTTTATGTTATTTTCACATATTTTTACTTCACGCGACTAAATCGTTATTTTATAACTGCATATTATTGTTATACGACGGAAATTTAATTTTTAGTAAAAAAAAGAAGATGGAAGTATTTAAAAAACAATGTGTAAATGGTTTTGAAGGCATGTAGTGATACATGGTGTGCTGTTAATTTTATTGATTTTTAAGCGGTAATTTTCTGTATAAATTTATGCGGCAATCCAATTATTGATTTACTTTTCTATTCACCCAGTTGCTCGGTGCTTAAAAAGGCATTTGCGCCTGGTATTTGGTTGTGTGGAAAAACCGGCATTAACAATTACCTTGATAAATAGTCATATTCATTCGAGGTTATCAGCATTTACATTGTCGGCTTCGATTCTATTTTACATAATTTGAATATTTCATCGCAAAGTACAGACTCAAAAATTGAGAACACAGACCATGAACAATCTGCAAGTAATTTCATCGTCGTGTTTGCATTATTATTATTGTTATTATTTGATCTCAATCCGTATTACAAGCACAATCAAGCGATGCTGTCAATCACATGCTCAACAATCAACGCGCCAAGTTAAATGAGATTTTCTTGGGCCGCGATGTTTTTCTTTGGTTGCACAGCAATGAGGCCTAATTTTTTAGTGGAACCAAGCGAATTAATTTTGTTGCATGTCAAATTGAGAACTCAACACATACAAATAATAATGGATGTACTGAGTAAAGATTATCAATCAAATGCCAAACAACGAGCTCGTGGACGTGGACGCTTTCGTTCGAAAATGAAGTTACACGTTTTTACTTCGTTATGTTATCGATGAATAAATCGATGTGTTCGTGTTCCATTATTATATATCGAAGGTTATCGATTATCTTCCATATGACTTTTCTTTGAACAACATTTTCTTGACATTGACGGCTGCATTTGAAACAAATAATCAATACACACTGAAAAGTTTTTGAAAGCAAGTTGAAATGGCAAAACAATAATAATATTACGAAGACAAAATAAAAAGCGTTTATCGCACGAAATAGATTTGTCTATGTTTAATGATTGTTGGTTATTATGCTCAGTGGCACTGTGAGTGTTGCACATTTTTAAATTAAGAAACTCACTTAACATGGATAAAAACATCATTTAAAATAACATGAACTTGAACAATGGCAAATTCAATAAAGGCGATTCACTTCTTCTTCTACTTCTTACTTCATAACAATATAATTCTTCTTAGCTTACAGTTATCATTGTCACGAACTTTTTGCGTCACCACTCACCATTCTTTGCATTGGCAATAATAATGCCTATTGTTCAGCGCGAATGAAAAGAACACATCACACGAAACTCCTATCTAATTCAATTGAAAACATCACACAATATGCATATATATGTGTGCCATTGTATCTCGTGTCTCTGTGCGCACAAAAGCCACGGTTATTCTCGTGACTTTTTGTTGTTGTTGTATTTGTGTTCTTTTTCGCATCATACATTAACTGCCACAAAAAAATTGATTTTTATTCGGATGAATTTATTGTTTGATTCAATGTTTACGGATAATGTCAAACATATTATTGTGACGTCAATTGCTGTGGCTTTTCATGTACAGTAATTAACTTTAGAAAATATTTTCTGCGATTAGAACCTTTTACAGACAGAAATGAAAGAGAAAAAAATTAAAAGAGTAATATTTAACCACGGCAGTTCGATTATCTCAAGTTTAACGTTAAATCTATGAAAACCACAGCAAGTGTTGGCATTTAATCTAAACATTGAAATGAACGTTATAGGCGCACGTTATGTTTGTTTTACTCGAAGTCACAATCTCATTTCATTAATACGTCAGCCATTGATATCCATGATACACAATACACAATCATTTTGACATTATTATGTAATTGCTGGACGAGTGAGTGTGTGTCCGCGGTTTAATGGTATGAATAAGCAGCCGCAAACATTGTTAACAATAATTATTATCATAGTTGTTGTTGGCATTCAAATTACAGTCATTTCGATTCTTTCGACTGTTGATCTGTTATGCATGGTATAATTACTGGTTGCATTTTCGAATATTTAACAAAGATCAAATGACTGCGAATGAAAAAATATGGTTTCCCATTGTTTTTCAATGAATGCGATTGTACATTATTAGAAAATCTCATCTGGAACATTGATTGCACGTGCGCTCACATTTCATTATTTTTTTATGAAATGAACGTATTTTTGCATTTCGATTCATTTGCTGTGTTGTGGTTCGAAGTGAATTGTTTGCAATTTTGCAAAAACATGTACGTTTGGGAATTGTTGATAAGATTTTGGTTTCATATTATCAATAAATTGAATGAAAATGAATTATTTACAGGGAAAAACAGTTTTAACATTAAATATTGACATTTTCATTTGATGAGTATACGTATTTGTCACAAAAACTATGTGTCATACGAAATCATTCAAATGAATTTGTTTTTGTTGTTGTTGCTGCCGTTGAATGTAGGTATACACTTTTATTACATCATAAATGGGCCGCAATGATTTATGTACGTTTATTGTTCGCAATAGGTCTATAACTTTAGTTATAGCCTGTCAAAACCAAATTAATAATTACCATCATCGAGGGCATACTGAAGGTGTCATACACTAAATTGTTTGCACGCTTTTTAAGCAAAAACCAAATTTGTAGCACTTCAGGTTTTTCGGTTTTTAGATTGTGACTTTTACGAAAGGCGAACAGCGTTCAAATGGAGTGAATATATTAATCATTTGATCGATCGATAAATATGGGGACTAATTTGAGAAAATATTTATGAAAATGATTAGAATAAAACGAGAGAGAGAGAGAAAGAGTGTCAAGAACACACTTTGATTTTAAGTAAACATAGAATCTTTTGGTCACACAGTTTCACCTTTTATGAATAATTTGCTTAAATCTCAAAGAGGTGGCTATTATTAGCTGCAACTTTCATCCTTGAATATTGAATTTCTCATTATAATGGAAGATTCTCGGGCACATTACTGACTCTGCATTAGTTACACAAAACAAAATTGGTTGAATAACATTCAAAAACATTGTTTTTTGAATGTACAACTTTTGTTTTTATTGAATTAATCAAATAGCGTTGTCATTGACAGCATTTATAAGAAACAATGTATCATGTTTTACGGGAAAATAATAACGTCGCTCAAATATTTGTAAAAACCAACATAAACATCGTCAAAATTAATGTAACTCTGCCAAATTAATATGTATGTTGACAAAGTTGTACCCAAATATTTGGCGTTGCACGTTCTAAATTGAATTTGGACACTTTAACGGGGCGGGTTTTTCTATCGAACTTTCGTTTTTTATTCACATAGTGTGATATACGCTGAATTGAAAAAAAAACTTTAGATATTTTTACGAGATTCACACAAAAACAATTCGTTGAATAATTCATCTTCTATCCCGGTAATGGTAAAATATACAAAAGTTTGCTAAACAAACACCGTTTGTGAAACATTTTATGATTTCTGGTCTATGGCAAAAATGCGTTTACAGTATGATTTAATGGAATTATTCATCCGGAGAAAAAGTTTTGGAAAAAAAATCGGCTTGATTAAAGTTTTTTTTTATCGTCATTTGTTGATAGTGATTGGATATTGACAAAGGTTGAATGAAAAAACAACAATGATGCATAAAATTTGAAGCAAAACGTTTTTATTTTGCGTCAGCGTAATAGGTTACGTTATAGTGCAGGTTCGTTGCTAAATGCCTGTGAAAATGTTTAGTCTGGCGTAGAAAAAAAAACTTGGTGATCCATTTAAAATTTGTTTGAACAATGTCAAAACAAAAACGTATACGCTGGAGAATCAACAATCTTATTGATTTTCATCGGACTGAAAATGACATGAATGATCTATTGGAAACGTCTGAGCCTATTTGTTGAATAAACCTATACATAGATAGAGTGCATTAACACTTTCCATCTACGATTCTTTTAAATCCATCCAAAAAAAATAATTTGTCCTAAAATTCTGCAAGTTCGTTGCCATTTTTGGCGTGCTAAACATAAGGACGACACCAGGATTGACATTTATCGATGTTTTTCTTTTTGCTTGACTTAACGCATTCTCATTCATTTTCGCATGATGAAAGTCAATTGGTATTAATTTATTGCGAAATACATAAAATTCGTCCAAAGCTTATATTCCCCGCTCTCGTCCATTATAATCTTGTATAATTCAAGTATTAATGAATACTTATGCAGTCATTCAATCTAGTATCTATTGTTATTTCAGATCGAGTGAATCACAAAATCGACATGAACGTTCTTGAAGTTTTATTTGTTTTGTTTCTTTTGCAAACAAAAAAAAAGTTCATTTACAAGTCGAAATTCGATACTTAATGAATAAAATGCACGTTACTCCTGATTAAACAGAAATATCGAATGGTTTATTTATATTTATTCACATTTGAAGTGTAGCTCTCAATAGATTATTATGTCGAATACACTTAGCAGAAAACATCTAACCAATCCACAATATTTAGTTAAAAAATATTTGATTCAAAGGCATAATCAAAAATAGAGTTCAAATTATTGTTGTTATTGATACCTCATCATCTGAGCTAACCGATTATAATAATGTGGAACGTGATGCTTTGAATGAAGTAAAGAATGCCAAGCAAATATATAAAAATCGATCAATCGATTTTGATGAGTGGCATTGTTGTGTCTATTGTTGTGCAGAGACGTGATGCGTGGTCCAACTTAAGTTGTTGTTTGGATTTTATAGTCATCGCCAGCTTTACACAGTATTATTTTATTAATAGACGTTCATTAACGTCAAACATATGTTAGAATGCCGCCGCAGGGTGTATTCAGTTTAGTTAGTCTACAGGTATGCATGATGTTGTCAATATGTGTGCATTTGGTGAAGCAAAAAATGATAAAAAAGGTCGTTTCATTAGCAAAAGGCTAATGAATGACAAGCACATTCCTATTTATAAATCATAACCTGTGCAAAATCGTGCGTAGAACTCCCTCATCACATTCAAAGAGACACATACGGTAGAAAATATTAGTTTTTTTAAACTGTTTTCCATTGTTCTTCTTCATATTATAATTCTAAATTTATACTGAACATGATTCACACTTGGAACACACATTTTATATTTTAATCAAATTTGCATAAAAGAAGAAAATTTCGGAAAATGGAAATTGATGAACACCTGTGATGTATCACCAACGATATACATAATCACTTATGAGATTACCAATTTTTATCAACACTTTAAAAAGCACCTCGACATGCTCGAGTGGGAAAAAAAATCAATATTTTCGACAAATGCACGTACACATTCTTGTGACAAGCATTTTCAGTGATCGTGACAAAAGTTATTTAGGGCTTTTTAATTAACTTTATTGGAAACAAACATTTTGGTTGATAAATTAGTATTTCTGTGGTGAATAAACGGAATTTTCTATTTCTTTTCCTATGTGATTATGTTATTTCCTAGCATTTATTTATGGTGCGTTTATTCACCTTGACACCACAAAATTTACCATATTTACCGCAAGTTTATCATACCGAAAGTTTCGTAGTTGCGTTAGAAGTGTTTGCGTGTCTGTTGACGTTA